TATTATAGGGGGTGCCCCACCCCACACACAGCCCCCCCACAGAATGAGGGGTGGTGGGTATGTTTGTGGGAGGTGAAACCCCAAACATCTCCAAGCGGCCAAGGTTGAGAAACACTAGATTAAACAATATAAAACAACCAAACAATACAATTAAAAACAATAAAAACAGTACAAAGGGTCAAAACCACCATAAAACCATCATCAAAAAAAAAATCATAAAATTCGTAGCCAACGTCATCCCTTACTTTTTGCACCTCTGTTTGTGATCTTTCACTGTTGCACCATGCTTGTGAGAGAATGCGACTAATACAATAGCAATGATGAGGAAATCTCAGGTTTGCAGGCGAAGCTGGGAATTAAAAACAGCCCAGCAAAAAAGACAAACCACTTTGGTATTATTGCTAAGGAAACAGTACAGGTGTAATCTTTCAGGTCACCAGAAATCAGTCTAGAGGAAGATTTATGTTACTTTACATCTTAAACTAGGTCTGGGGGATCACAGGATGAACAAAAGGGCTTGTTAAATTTTAGTTCGGTTTGCAAAAACGGGATGGACCTTTGAAAAACCTCGGTTGCGACGTTCAGAAGGGAAGAAAAAGAAGCAGAGCAGCCAAACCAGGGTTGCATTATGACTTTTGCCTTCGCGGGGCCCTCCCTCCATAGAAAGCATAGCATTAAAATTACATTTCAGGGGATTTTTCCATACGTTGTTCATATTTCTGCAGAGGAACAGGGAATCGTAAACAATACATTACATGTATTATTATGCAATAATGATCCCTCGTTGCTGATTAATTATTAATGTTAAATGATCTCGGCGGCAAGTAATCTACAATGGAGCTTTTCATTTGAATGGTTGGCAGGTTTTCTCTGTACTTTATGCCTTCGGGTTCCGTTTATTGGGTATGTTTTCAGGGCTGAAAGAACGAAAGCGAATAACGGGGGCTTCCTTTTGTCGCTTTCTGATTTTTAAAAAATTAAACGTTCTCATGGGCCAACTGCGGCTATGGCAGTGATGAAGTTAGTTGCCCCACAAAGCGGAGGGAGACCCCTGCCCGCAAGGACAATTTTGGCAAGCCGAAGAAGAGCAAAGCCCCCCACCCACTTCTGGAGGCTGGTCAGCCCTCTCGTCGGCATCGGGAACCCGGTGGAGAAGTGGGACAACCTGGTTTGCTTCCCCAAGGCTTCCAGAAATGGAAGGAGCTGGGTCCGTTGGGCCTTGGGGCAAGTCAGGGAGAGAAGGGAGGGCAGAACTCTTCACGTGCCCCAAAAGATGCCCCCAGAGAAAGACCTCCTTGCCATCACTTGAGAGCGCAAGACACAGGATCCTGGGTTCGAGTGACAGGAGAGCAGATCCGGAGTGGATATTGAAGAAGGCTTCAGTGCGGTTTGCCAAGGGAATCAAAGACCTAGAGTGGTTTGGGTCGCCCTGCCCTGGATGATTCCAAGTAGCCACAGGGCTCGCATGCTTTAGGTTGGCTTCCTGCCCTGGGCAGGGTGTCATGGCATGGGGAAAAGACCTTGGGAGACAGGGCCAAGAGATGCCACCTAGGGAACGGTCAGATAAGAGAGGGCATAGCCCGCAGCTGTATAATGGGACGAGAAAGAGTCTCAGAAGAGACCCTCCCTAGTTTCTCGGGCTGTAAAGGGGACGGGGGAGAAATGCCCTTTCAGACTTGCAAGATTCTGTCAATGCATCTTTACAATACAGTAGAATTAGCTCATCTGGTTGTGATTCCCATCTGGTTTACCCTGCATCACTCTTGCAAGTCTGAAAGTTCAATCCTCCCATCTCCTTTACAGCCCGAGAAACTAGGGAGGGTCCCTTCTGAGCCTCTTGCCCCACCCACTATCCAGCTGAGGGCTAGGCTGTCCCTTATCCGACCATTCCCTTGGCAGCCTCTCTTCGCCCCGTCTCCCAAGGTCTTTCCCACCTACCATGACACGGGGGATGGGCCAGATGGCCTTAAGAGACCCTTCCAACTCTTTATGGCTTCTCCCCTTTGGTTATTCCACTCCGCCGATGTCGAGTTAGCCCAGAGGCACAAACACCTCCCTCTGCAAGCACACGTCCACGTCCCACCTGTTTGGCCACCGTCTCGCTCCCCGGGGACAATCCGTGCCTGGAGCGCTTTGAGCTGGCGGTGCAACTGGTTCAGCCTCTGGCTGGACGACTCCAGCACGGTCTCTACGTGGGCCAAATGCTTTTTGTCCTTGGTCACCCGCCGCAAATTTTCAGCCCCTTCCTTGATCTTCAGCTCTTTCTGAATGGCCCGGCGGACGGCTTCCTTTTCGGATTCCAGTTTCTGCTGGCTCCCTGGGTCTGGGACCTCCAGCCCGTTGCTCACCAGGTAGAGACAGCTGCCCTGCAACCGTCCAAGTTTAAACAGAGAGGTTTGCCCAAGAGCAGAGATTAAGGGAACCATGGTTAATTTCATGCATTCGTTTGATTTACGTTCCCGGGCCCATCGAAAGACAAATACAAAACTTAAAATGCAGAAACACCAATCTGGCTGGCTGGGGAATTCTGGGAGTTGCTGGCTGGGGAATTATGGGAGAATTCTTGGAATTCTGGGGAATGCTGGCTGGGGAATGCTGGTAGTTGAAGTCCACACATCTTGAAATGGCTACGGTTGAGAATCACTGGGTTAGGATAAAGGAACCCAACTTCCAATTCGGTGTAACCCACCTCACAAGGCTGTTGTGAAGATAAAATTGGAGGGGAGCATTAGCAGCGTGGCCTGGATCTCCTGGAGGGAAAAGATATAAATCCAGCCAAGGAGCAGATTTGGCTTTAATTTTTAAAAGGCTAAAAATCTCCCCCTCCAAAAAAACAAAGCCACAACAGCCGAGTGAAAAGCGAATGACGCAAAGGAAAATAAAAACAAAATCATGGGCAGAAAATGAAATGGGCTGGAACGTAGCGTGAAAGGAAATAAACCGAGAGAAGGCAACGGCTCGTGGCATCGAAAGCTCTGGGTTGCGCTGCGCAGCTTCACGATTTAGTTCTTAAGGCCAAAGCAGTGAAAACGGGCATGTGCGGGCGTGCACACGTGTGGAAGTGCGATATCCGCAGCAGGAACAGCCCAGCCGGAAATCGAGGAAGGATCCCCGTCTCCAAACAAACAACTGCTGGAAATGGGACAATCAGCGCGGGATGCAGGAAAGTCTCGCCCAGCGAGGAAACGGGACCCGGATCTCGGCCGAGTGCTGGAGGCGCCAGGTTAACCGAGGACAAAGGAGTTATCGGGGTGGGGGGCGACTTGGGGGTCAGGCTCATCCTGTTCTTCCTCCTTTGGGCCAAGGAACTTACAGCAGCCACAGCCAGCAGAGACGACCCAGATTCAAGTCCCTGCTCAGTAAGAGGGGCAGTTTTAAACCTGCCCTACTTTGCAGGGTTGCTGTTCCGGATCAAGAGAGCCAGGGAACTGGCTAAGGAGTGGCTAAGCATGGAGAGATCCAGGTTTATGCCCCCAGCGAACCTTGGAGCTCTCTAAGGGGCTGGGGGGCACTACTTTCTTTCTCAATCTCTCTCTCTCTCTCTCTTGGCCCAACCAACCTCACAAGGTTGTGAGGGATATAAAATGAAGGGAAACCAGGTGCGTAAGACAGAATGTGTACATGCAAAAACTAAAGAAGCAGGGTTAACAGTCCTTCTCCTAGAATCGCCAACATCTATAAAATCTGGACCCGCCTAACCAACTGCAAGTCTCTCAAGCTGCTAGTCCTCATAGAGTAACCTTTCTTTCTCACTTGCTTTAAACTAACAACATCCCTTTTTGCCACCTACAGTCTAAAAACCAAATATTTAGATAAACATGCGAGTTCAGCTTTCTCAGTTACGGCTGGATGTGCCAGGGTCTAAATTTGTAAAGGCTGGGGATGATAGGCCTTGAAGTCCACTAATCTGGAGAGTCGCTGGTTAGACAGAACCGATTCATGCTTCCATCTATGAATACGGTAGAAAGGAAGAAAAAATAACCCGAAAAGGAGAAGGAAATTGGCCAATTAAGTGGATGGAAAGATTGAAACGGCTGCCGTACGATTTCTATTATTAACTTAACTAATTATTAATGGTATTTATTAACTGCTATTATTAATTATCAATCTTTCCCCTGAAGAAATATATAAGAAAATCAATACAAAAAGGAAGAAATGGTTTAATTTTACTGGACTCAATTAAGATCCAGCAAGATACTATCAAGCCAGAGAAATTAATACTTTGGGAGAACTTTCTGAAGTTGAACACCCTGTGAAAAGCCTCTCCTTTGGGTATACTCCTAACCCTTTTAAAGAAAAAAAACAAGAAAATCTCAGTGCATTAATGAACAAAACCGCAAACCCCATTGCAAAAAGAGAGAGAGAGAAGAGAATTTATCACAAACGTGCCGCCGATCAAATCCAAGTGCTTTGTGAATTATGCCTTTTTGCAACCTCCCAGAATCTCCCATCTTTACTTTAAAATATTTCTTGAAGTGCAACAGAGTTAAAGTCAGCAGAGGAAGAGGGGGAGAGGGGAAACCAAAGTATTTAAGCCCCCTTATTTTTAAAAATAAGAAATTAAACTCTGCAAAGGACATTTTTGCCCTCCAGCTCACCTCCTCCTCTGTTCATTTTGGATGCTCTTTGCTTGCTTTTTCCAAATCTACATTAAATCTCTTCTCCTGAAGAAGAAATCTCACTCCTTTTCTCTTTTAATGGGCCCTTTAGCCAAACAGCAGCTCGGACGTAGAATTTATTTCCAAATTAAATTGGTACGGACAGCCAAGCTGAACCCCAACCCGAGCCCACCTAACCCTGTGCCTCGTTTCACAAAGGGGCTGGAAAGAAACTCCAGGAAGCTCAAAAGCCATTCTTCACTGTGGCTCAGATAGGCTGTCCCTGAACAGGGAGGCTCTTTTTGGCTTACGGATAACCATGTTAGTCTGCTGCAGCAAATGTGTTTTACCTTCAAGATAAAGAAGAAACTAGGGAGAATGAAGAACAGAACTAATCACAAATGGAGCCTGCTGGAGCATAAAAAAATAATTTAGGAGGAATTTAGTAGTTCTTTCCCCAAGCAGACAGTTGGTTTAGATGACCTCTAATGTCCCTTCCAACTCTATGATGCTATGAATTCCTGCAGAACGAAATGAGATTATTTCTCAGTAGATGGTAAATTTTAAAAAAGCTACACAATTGGATCATAATCAGAAAAAAAATAGAATGTTTCTTTGATTGGAAGATGATCAGAATTTTGAACCCTGTTCTATGTTGTTCACACAGGCTCAGGAACTGTTTTGGCAAAAATCTCTCTTTTTATTTTAAAAAAGTTTTTGCCACACAACATTTCTTACTTGTTTCACCCACTAAATCTCTTTTAAAGTTTCAGGATATTTCCTTGCCCCTTCTCCTGAAAGGTTTTTGACCAGAGGGCCAATTAGCTCACCCTGCCCACCCTCTCCTCAAAAAAATAAATGGGAATCAAATATCAGAAATCAGAATATTAAAAAAGCAGTTGAAAGCAGGCATTCCTTCTGCCAAGAAATTTCAAAGAGCAGCTTTAAAATCTATCAGCAAATGCAATTCTGTCTTCCAGAGGCTAAAAGGGTGCTCATTGGGAATAGTCACAATTTTATCTATTTATTTCTTACTAAATTTATATGCTGCCCATCTTCCCCATTACATATTTCTTGTTCAGGAAAACACTCCAATAAAGCACCTTGCGGTTCCCCAAAGTTACCACTTATTTGACAATCTTTGAGCTGTTTTGGCTGCAACCCATTAAGGCTACCACGGGCTTGGAAACCCGCTGGGAGATTTGGGTTGTTAACACCCCAGCCTTGTGACGAGGTGGTGTTTTGTTTCTTTTTTAACATTTTAATTAAATTAAAATTAATCAAAAAATTAAATCAAAAAATTAAATCAAATCAAAAAATTAAATCAAATCAATAAATCAAATCAAATCAATGAATTGAATTAAATCAAATCAATAAATTAAACTAAATCAATAAATTAAATTAAATCAGTAAACTAAATGAACTAAATTAAATCAATAAATCAAACTAAATCAATAAATCAAATTAAATCAAATCAGTAAATTAAACTAAACCAATACATTAAATGAAATTAAATCACTAAATTAAACTAAATGAATTAAATTAAATCAAATCAATAAATTAAATCAAATCAGTAAATTAAATCAAATCAAATCAATAAATTAAACTAAATCAATACATTAAGTTAAATTAAATCAATAAATTAAACTAAATCAATAAATTAAAATGAATTAGAATTAATTTTACTGAAGACATTCTTAACCCGATAAAAACAACGCAAATATCAGAAGAGAAGCCAAGAAAAGAAGAATCGTGAGCAAGTAGGAAAGAAAATAGAAAAAGAAAGGAAAGACAGATTATAAAGCTGTGGCTTCCAATCTTTTTGACGGCGGTTATAAACGCGTTTATATTTGACCCTCTCTCTCTTGAGGCTACTGTTTCCTTTTGTTTTTTAAACACGCATTTCTTATCAGAGTCAGAAGGTTTGCTATTCAATTATGCTACTGTTTCTCAATCTCAGCCACTTTAAGCTGGGTGGACTTCAACTCCCAGAATTCCCCATGCTGGCTGGGGAATTCTGGGAGTTGAAGTC